ACACACAGGATTGTATATTTGTAAATTTTCACATCTAGTTTTATTGTATTATACAGACTTTAAGCAAAGATTACTTACAAATAAAATCAACATTCAATTTGGTAGCTAACAGTTTGTGTTAAATCCTCCACTCCCCAAACAATCCTCATTGCTCATTACTGAAAACAATTATGTAAAGAAAGAAAAAAGCAATACTTTTCTCCCACTGAAACCAAATAAAAACTTTTAGGATAAATTAGATTTGTCAAAATACAAAAGTTTTTGTTTTGTAGGCAAGAAAATTGTGGCATATTTAAGAGATGTAAGTGTTGCAGCCCCTTCCGAAAACTGAGGGTCTCACTATATTTAATCTTGGGGCGTTGTTTGTTTTTTTCCTGCTTGTCTCCAGCCAAAATAGATCCCACGCCTAAATGTTGCACTTTTCATGTGCAAAGAAGCAACGATTCCTGCAGGAAAGCCATGGCTCTCCCGTGTGGTGGGTGGGAAACTCTTGGCCAGAAGCCCCCCAAAGGCGTCCAGCTCAATTCCCTTCCCTCCCACTCCTAGCCAATTTGCTTGGAGGGACCAAGACCAAAGAAATGCCACTCCACACACTCTGGCTGAAGCCTCCTGGTTTTTCTACCTCCAAGTACATTTTCCTTGGCTCTGGGACATGAACAGCTCTTCCCATGTGCCACAGAGAAGGGCTCTCCGTCTTCTGCCCCAAGGGTGGAGGGGCTTCCTCTATGTGACATCATCCTTCAGTCTGTCTGGGGAGGGGGGGGCAGCTGGGTTTTCTTAAAGGCCAGGTCCGATGGGCAGCCAGACTGTTCCCCACCACTCAGGAGTAAAATGCAGACAGTAAAACAGAGGTCCCCAAAGTTGGCAGCTTTCAGACTTGTGGACTTCAACTCCCAGAATTCTGGGAGTTGAAGTCCACAAGTCTTAAAGTTGCCAAGTTTAGGGACCCCTGCAGTAAAAAATGCTAACGAAAATATCACAGGCGCTGGAAAGGTTTGGCTCAGGGGCAACTGCAGGGGAGTGGGGCAAAAAAGTCACAATGGTTGCCATTTTTATGTGCATGGCAACATAAAGCAGAGGCTTCAACCACAATTGCAGCTGTCATTTTCCTTTTATACACATAGACACAAAACTGCAAACACCCCTGGTTTTATTGTTTGGGGGTTAGGTACAGTTGTTTAAAAACCATGGCTTAGGTTAAAGTGTTTTATGTGAATTTAACCAGTTGTGGTCTGTTTTTGAAGACAGCCTAGTGTGATGTGTAAAGCCGCTCTGCATGCTTGTGCTAGTGTGTTTAGAGCATCTTTGGAAAAAAATCTAGCTGAGCCACCAGGGTCCAAGTTCACCAGATCCTAAATCCGAATTCACAAATGCAACTTATAAAGCCAAAACCTTATTATTATGATTTAGTGCAGAGGTCCCCAAACTTGGCAACTTTAAGACTTGTGGACTTCAACTCGCTATGCTGGTTGGAGAATTCTGGGAGTTGAAGTCCACAAGTCTTAAAGTTGCCAAGTTTGGGGGTCCTGATTTAGTGCAATCTGCAAACTCGGTCACAATGTCTCCCCCATGTATCCATGTGGCAATTCAGCCCTCTCTAGTTTTAGTTTGTGTGGCTGTCACTTTGTCGCCCAGTCTTTTCAGAGGGTGGGGGCTGCAAAGAATGACATCCCCAGGGACCCACTCTGCTACTCAAATTACTTTTAGGGCCTGACCACAACATTATCAAGTCCATCTAAGCCAGGGGTGTCCAACCTTGGCAACTTTAAGACTTGTGGAATTCTGGGAGTTGAAGTCCACAAGTCTTAAAGTTGCCAAGGTTGGACACCCCTGATCTAAACTGTGTCAATTTAAGGCAGGAAGGTTAACAAAAACAATTACAGTATTAGACAAAATCTATTTCTAGCGATAGTTTCTCAAACATGGTGAATATTTTAGGAGTTGATCTGCTTCAAAGATCATCTTTAGATTCTTTCTTCTTCGTTTGCTCTGCTTATTATTATTATGTTGCTCCTTTAATGTTGTTGTGTGTGTTTCTACTTTTTAAAAGTAGTTAAAAATGCTGGTTTTGAGAACTTTTGCTTCCCTACCCAGCGGTGAGATTCAAAAATTTTTTACTACAAGTTCTGTGGGCATGGCTTGGTGGGCGTGGTTTTGTGGGTGTGGCAGGGGAAGAATCCTGCAAAATCCCCCTCCCCTCCCCACCCCACTAACCTGCTTTCCAGCTCCGTTCTCCTGGGCAGGGCAACCAAAGGAGACCCAGCCGATCATCTGGGACTCAATGGGAGGCAGAGAAGAGATGGGGTTGGCGGGGCCAGTCAGAGGTGGGATTGGCCGGTTCTCCAAAATACTCAAAATGTCCGCTACCGGTTCTCCAGGACTGGTCAGAACCTGCCGAATCCCGCCTCTGTCCCTCCTCCTTCCTGAAGGAGGCTCCTAACTTCCTGTTGGGGGCCCTTGTAAATCCTTCCATAGGAGAATGGCCTCCTCCGCAGGAAAGTCTCCATCGGATGCATCATTGGCAAATGATGGCATTGAGGGCACCAAGAAATAAACAGGAAGTTTCGCCCACAGAGACCGATACCCTCTCCCACACAGCACGTTCCTGAGTCCGGGCTGAGACAATCATAAAAGGGACCCCTGGCAAGAGGGCAGATCGAAGCATGTGCAATGTGCTCTGCACAAGGACCGGCCTTAGAGGCTCCTTCATCGCGCATGATTCTCCTCCAGAACAGCAGAAGGGGTTCTCCCATGCGCCCATTAAAGAGCCAGTGTTCTGCTGCCAAGGGTGATGTCATGTTCCCATGATGTCATCAGCACAGAGAAAAGTGGGCAGACTGGGAGTCTTACGCTCTCTGTGGTGTTTCTGATGTGTGCACTGTAACCACAGCCTTGATGGGGAAAGCATCAGTGCACATCAAGACTGCAGCCAGTCACAACTTTGCAAGGAGGGAGATTGGAGTAGGCCAACAGTAGGGACAATGATTCAGGGGTTAATGCTAGGCTGTTAGGTGGAACGCAGCGTCAAGAGAACAAGGCTGCCAAATGCACCCCTGGTCTTTGGCTCTCTGGCCTGGCTGCCAGTCCATTCCTCAGCCCAGTGAGGGCTGATTTTGGCCCTTAGAAGCCCCCACCTGCACTTACCTATTCAGCTACCCCACCCCTTTATTCAACACAAAAGACACACCTAAGAGATATCTCTGTTTTACTGTCTTTCTCACAGAAAGAATATTACTTTGCTTGGGAGTGATCTGAATATTGTTTTACAGCTGATTTTATTGTAATTTTATCCACCTGGATTTCATTATAATAATCCTGTACAGCACCCGGTGACATAAACCTAATAGCTACTGGACACCTGAACAAGCTCGAGCTGAACTGAAATCCCAGTCTTGACCAACCCAATATTTCATTATGACATTGTTCTAGCCTCCTCAATGTTCTTTTAAATGTCACACTCTCGAAGCCAGACATTCTTCCGCTTTTAATCCCTCCTATGTCTTTGGATCATGTCTACATTAAAATTATACAGTAGGGACTATAACCAAATCAATCAAAAAGTCAAGATGGTGACCACAACAATGCCATCAAAACCCTGTTTTGTTTTCCATGGTGAAGCAAAGCATCAATTAATGGATAAATAAACACACAATATTTCATATGTGACAAGATTTGATTTTGCCATAAATAATTTTTGCAATGACAGTTTAACAAGGCTTTTTAATTACAGTAGCAATCTATCTTCATTTTTTTTTTAATTTCTTAGTTTGCAAAAAATAGCAACCCGTATTTGTTTTTGTTATTCAGTTTTCATGGTCCAAAAGCCATGGCAATTAAAATATTTATTAGAACAGACAGCAAAACACTTACGGAATGAATAATGTTTGCAATTTTCTGAGGACAAGAGAACATCCACACAAAATAACCCAAAATAACCCATTTTTTAAATCAATATGTATTTATGGCCATTTTAGAGAAATGCAATATGACATCAAAGTTGCTGCATCTCTCTTGCCAAGCTGCTCGTTCAGTCCTGCAGAAAAGCCCCCTGCCCCATTTGTAAACAGGAGGCTGGCAAGCCAGAGGGTTGATTAGGCTGTTGCTATGGCAAATGCATTCACATCACAAGTGCAGACAGACACTGCAAAACAACTGTGTCAGCCATACAAGATTGTTGACTCTCATCCATTAACCCTTCCCTTCCCAGGGAATGGGGTGTCTTGTTGAATTAAGGCAAGCAAGAGCAAAGAAAATCTCTGGTTTGCCTTTTCGTGCTGAGGCGAGTTGCAGTTGCTGCATTGATTGTTGATCTCCCTT